GGGGGCACGGCCTGGGACTGACCAGAGCAGGGGGCAGGGATTGGCTGAAGGACCAGGTCTGAGGCCTCGGGGAGGCACGGAGAAACCTGTGCTCAGAAGCAGGCTGTCGAGGGGCTGCCCCCAGGAAGCTTCCCTTCTCTCCTGCAGTCGGGTGGGAAAGGCGCACAGTCAGAGTGTTAGGGCTTTGGGTCCCAGGCCCGAGCCTTCCCGTCTCACCCTTGAGCTGAGCAGTGCCAGGGTCAGACCAGGGCTTTAGGAAGACGCGGGATGGATCAGAGGAGGGAGGTAGGGAGGCCGTGAATGGTGTCTCCGCTGAAGGGGATGAGAAGCCTGAGCGAAGGAGGATGGGGGTAAATGGAGGAGAGAGAGGCCATAGAGGGAGAGTGAGCCAGACTTGGGCCCTGGGCTAGTGGGCGGGGAGGGGTTGAGAAGTGGAAGCTGATCCTGGGATTGAGAGCCTGGGAAGAAAGGGGGGCCACAGGCACAAAATGGGGCCGAAATCATCCCCCAGGGTGGCCGAGTGGTGCGTGGGGGAGGGCCAAGCAGAGAGCTCGGAGGTGAGAGACAAGGGAGGCTTCTCACTGCGTCACCTTGGCTAAGTCACTGCCCTTGTTTTTCCATCTGTAAAATGCTGGGGCCGGACAAAGCCATCTTTGGTTCTGCCCGTGGACTTGGACCTCTGGGCTCCAGGTTCTTGTGGCTTGAACTGAGTTGGAAAAGGAGGGAAGGGAAAGAAATAAGAACTGGGGACAGGAGAAGAGAGGGGTGCATCTGGGACTGGCCCCTGACTGCTGCCCTGTCTTCACAGAGCACCCCCTCCGGAAAGCGGTATAAGTTTGTGGCCACCGGGCATGGCAAGTATGAGAAGGTGCTGATAGATGACACTCCGTAACCCAGCCCGCAGCCCGCTGTTCCTCTGGTGAGTGCCCGGGGCAGGGCTGGAGGCCGTGGCATGAGGAAGCCGTGGCACAGGGAGCGAGCAACCCTGGCACGGGGAGGCCGTGGTGTGGAGAGAGGGAGGC